CAACCCACCGACTTTGTTGATAAAGACAATCCAACCTATGTTTGCAAATTTAACAAAGCTATCTATGGACTTAAACAAGACCCCAATAACTTGGTATACCGAACTTAAAACCTTTCTTATCTTGTCTGGTTTTTAAAACTCCATCTCCAACCCATCTCTCTTTTTATACCAACATGGTGATGCCACCATCCATCTCTTAGTCTACGTTGATGATATTATTGACACCGGTCCATCTCCCTCTCACCTAAAAAAATTCATCAACATTCTTGTTGCTCGTTTCTTTCTTAAAGACCTTGATCCCCTCTCCTATTTTTTCGGTGTTGAAGTCATACCAAATATACTTTGGTTTTTTTCACAATCAAACTAGGTACCTTCATGACCTCCTAGTAAAGTATCACATGCATGACTCCAAACCTGTATTTACTGCCACAACTCTAAATACTCCTCTGACTTCTACCACAACCTCACCAATTCCAAACCCCACAGACTATCAAGCCATCATTAGTAGCTTACAATGCTTATCCTTCACCAGACCTGATGTTGCCTATGTTGTCAATAAACCATCACAATATATGAACTATATTTCTAATGATCATTGGCTTGCTTTCAGTGGTTACTACAGTACGTTAATGGTACCTCTCACCATGGTCTTCAGCTATACAGTCATTCTCCTCTACGACTCAATGTTTCTACATATGCAGATTGGGCTCGAAACACATATAACTATATTTCTACCACTAGCTACTTAGTCTACCTAGGTCATAATCCAGTTTCATGGAGCTCCAAGAAGCAACGTGCCTTAGCTCATTCCTCAACTGAAGTAGAATTTTGAGCAATTGCCGACACAACTGCTGAAATACTTGGCTATGCTCTTTGCTCATCGAGCTTAGTATTAAATTAACACATCAATCGACCATTTAGTGTGATAATCTTGGTGCCACTCACTACTCTGCCAATCTTGTTTTTCACTCCCACGTGAAACACCTTACATTGGCCATTCATTTTGTTCGTGAACAAGTCCAACTCGACACTATTTGGGTTCAACATATTCACAATGACGAATAGTTGGTAATGATGGGATTTGTAGGAAACTTTAAAAAGATATTATCAAAGATACCAACAAAAGCATAAAATAAACCTACAACGATTTCACAAAAACTTCCAAGAAGGATCTCATGCATTAAAGAACTTAGAAAAATGAAAAACACAACCATAATGGGTTTTAGAACTATAACATTTGAACCTTGAATGTTGATGTCGTGTAGAGAAGAAAAACAGATCTTCCTCTAAGTTGATCCACACCAAGCAACCACTTTTTGAATGCTAGTTCCTTGTAACTCAAACTTATGTGTTTTTTTTCTCTACCGTAGAAATAAGAACCAAGTACTATGTATCTCCTACTCTCAAGACCTCTTTCCTAAAAGTCTCTAACACTTTGAATATTAAAGAGAAAACTTAGAAAGAGCAAGGATAGTATGAGATGATTCAAAAGGAGTAAAAGAAGAAAGAGTGGGAGGCCATGTCTCCCAACATACTTCTTACATCCCATACCTTGTCCTCTTTTATAATATTTTAAATGTCCTTTGTAGTGTACTTGGAAGCAACCAATACATAGAGAAATCAACTAATAAATAACCTAAAACCAACCATAGTTTTATTAGTTAGTTATTAGTTATTTCATATAAATTTTATATCAAAATATAAAACTTATATGATTAATGTCACACATAACAAATTAAGTGTACATTTACAACAATGGAAATAATAATATATATCAAGTACATACTAGACCTAAACACTAGTTTAAATATATAATATATATATATATATATACATATACATATAGCATATATTTCATATCAGAAATTATTATTTCGATTAAATAATAATTTGCATGACAATTGTTCGGATTGAAAATAATGGAATCACATTCGATCATACGATTGAAGTTAATTTGCTTGTATATGTATGACCCTTTGGAATCTTTTATCATTAGCCGCATCGTCAAGTTTAGTGTCATGGATATATAGATCCAACAAGTAGATGCTCTCATGAAACCATTATCGAAAGCAAAGATAACAACCCTTCATTTTGATCCTTGTGATGACAACTGATGTGATTCAAATACAAAAATATGGATTTTGTTACACTTGGTAACTTTAATAAATGTGATCATAAAATTTGAAAATATTACGGATGATGGGATGGATACTGACCTAGAATGTGGTGACTGTGCCGGTAGAGTTTCCAGGTTCTAATTTCAGTTGCATGTTGAACCTTCCGAAGAGGTACTCATGTTCGGACTCCACCATTGAGTATTTTAGCATGTTTCACCTCCAAAACTGATGTCGATATCATCGTAACAACTTCCGGCAGATGCTACTACCATTACGCATGAAATTGTTAGAGCAATTTCACAAGCTTGAGAAATTTGAATAACTTGAGTGGCCCATATATATTTCTTTTTAGGAAAGGAGATATAAACAGGGAGATTGAGAGATGTGATGGGTTTGTGTTTGTGCGAAGCGATTTGTTTAAGTAGGTGTAGCTACATTGACAACTTGTTAGAGGAAACCTCTTGGTTGTTGGAGAAGGAAATCATGCTGGTAGAGGGGTGACATGACCATAAAATGAATAACAAAACTTTCCTCAATCAATAATATAGATGGCGTAAGAACAGGAGAGAACCAAATAACTATGGAAAAAAAACAGATGAAAAATAATATATATCAAAAAGAATGTAAAATTAAAGATAATAAAATGATCGTTTTTTCCGGGTATAATTTGTTTCGCTACTATTTTCGTTATATTTCGTTGATTTTCATTTAATTAAAGGGGGTATTTTTTTAAAATGTGATTCCATTATAACACTACTAAAAAATCTGGTTTTTTCGACGGCAAAATCAGTCGGAAAAACAACTTTCTGACGAATTTTGCCGTCGGAAAACCCCCGCCGCTAAATGCAATTTACGATGGAATTTCTGACGGATTTGTATTTTCCGACGAAAAAATCCGTCGGAAATCCATCGAGCAATTTTATAATATGTTATCCATTACCCGAGTTAATTTGAAGTAATATAAAATGAGATTAGAGTTACCGACGGAAATCCGTCTGTGAACTTTTTCCATTTTCTTCGAAAATAATAACCTGTTTTTTTTTCAAAAATAAAAATAACATATAAATTCCGTCGGTAATTATATTTAAAAACTTGTTTTTTCCTAATTTAAAATATGAAAATGTTTTTATTTTTAAAGCCCAATAATCCATTAAAGCCTATTAATACCCTTTAAAACCCAGTTAAACCGAATAAAACCCAATAATACCCGTTAAATCCCAATAATATCCGTTAATGCCCAATTGAATCGAATAAGACCTATTAGCTCCATTAACGCCCAGTGAAACCGAATAAAGCCCAATAGTACCCGTTAAAGCCTAATTGAACGAAACCAGACTCAATATATCTATTAAAGCCCAATGGATTCATTAAAACTCAATTGAACCAAATAAGGCACAATTAGTACCTAGTTGAACCAAAAAAATTCACTAAGATCCATTAAATTCCACCAAATTCAAATAAAACCAAAAAATACATATAAAAGTCCAATTGAACCAAATAAAGCCAATAGATCCATTTAATATAACTGAACATACGACTACTCTGTTGGTAATATTTAATAAAAAAAGTTTATAATATTTCCGACATAATTTAATTTTTTTTAATAAAAATTAAATTCCGTCAGAAATTTTAAAAGAAAAAATGTTTTATTTTTATTTCTTTCCTAACAAAGATATATATATATATATATATATATATATATATAAGGTTACAAATTTCCGATTGATTTCTGACGGAATTCGATTTGTTTTTAAAAAATTAAATTCCGTCGAAAATTGTTTTCGATTAACGCAAATTAATTTATTTAAATAAATTAGACAAATTTTGCGACGGATTTCCGATGGATTTGTGATAGTTTTGAATAAGTAAAAATCCGTCAGAAATCCGATGAAAAACCGTTTAAAATAATTTTAATTTTTCTTTTTCCAAAAATTCAGTGGGGGATCTGTGACAATATGGATAAAATTCAAATTGAAAACACTTAACATTTGCTCAAATTACTCTTTTTTTATATCTCATCTTTTAAAGTTGAAATTTCCCACCTCTTCACACCAACCATTATGACCACTAAGGCTCATTATGACCTACTACAAGTTACTAAGACGCGTTCCATCAACTAGGGGGTTATAGCCCAATAGAAATGAGAAAGTGTATGGACTTATCCCTTGTCTCTTAACCAAATAGTCTTCCATATACTTTAAGTAATTTCCAAGGAGGTAATACACGCTAAGATGGATCATAATTATACACTAACACTAACATTTTCGACAAACTAACGATGATTTTATCTTTTTTCTTAGAAACTACAAAATTGTCGCTAAACCGCTCCGGCAATTGAAAACCTTTTTGACGTTTTTTTTGGAGGTCTATTGACGTTTTTTTTTTCTAAAAATAATTAATTAAAAATTAAAGAATAAAAAGTAAATGTGGACATCGATAAAAATCATTTAGCATACAATTAATTCTAATATAATCAAGCTAGGACAATAGGGGTATTGCAGCAACACCCTTCACCTCAAGCATGGCTTCTTTCTCGATTTTCACTTCCATTTCCACGTGATGTTAAATTTGTTTACGTCCTTCATCTCAAACATACCAACAAACATAAAAATCATTCCAAACAATATTTAATAGAATATAGAGGAAGAGTACATCAATTATTTAAGTCAACAAAAGAACAAGAATAAAAAAAAAAAAAAATATGTGTGGAGAAACAGCGACAACAGTTGTGTTCCAGGCAAAAGAAGGAATACATGAGTTGGAACACGTAAATGATCAAGATTTCCTGAATACTTTCAGATTGCCTCGTTGACTTCCTTCTGCAAAACGCAGGATGGTTCCTCTTGATAATTGYGAATGTAGCCACACCTATATAAGCCATTCCTTCCCACAAATCTAAAACGCATCACCTCTCTCTTTCTCTCTCAAAACATTACTAATGGGACAGTCAAACCATTCATACCCTAAAGCTTGTGCAGTTGCTCTAACAATTTCATATCTGATAGTAGCAGCTTCCGCAGGAAGTTTTTACGACGACATTGACATTACTTTTGGAGGTGAACGTGCTAAAATACTCAATGGTGGTCAGGATCTCACACTTTCGCTCGATCAATACTCTGGCTCTGGTTTCCAGTCCAAGCATGAGTACCTCTTYGGTAGATTCGACATGCAACTGAAACTAGTACCTGGCAACTCTGCTGGCACAGTCACCACATTCTATGTAAGTACTATCATCCGTAATAGTCTCGAATTTTATGATCACGTTTATTATTGTCACAAAGTCTAACAAAATCCATGTCTTTGTATCGAATCACATCAGTTGTCATCACAAGGTGCGGGACATGATGAAATAGACTTTGAGTTCTTGGGCAACTCAACAGGAAACCCTTAYACAATCCACACCAATGTGTATTCACAAGGGAAAGGAAATAAAGAGCAACAGTTCCACCTGTGGTTTGATCCCACTGCAGCCTTCCACACCTACACCATCGTATGGAACACTCAAAGAATCATGTAAGTCTCTCATGAAAAGTACATATTTGGTTCTCAGATTTCCTCAAATGTTTCTGTATACTACMGGGACATTTACACTGATGAGATGATAAGATTCCATGAAACTGATCTTGAAAATCTCTGGTTTTGCAGCTTCTTGATAGATAACATACCAGTGAGGGTGTTCAATAACCATGAGGCTTCTGGAGTCCCATTTCCCAAGAGCCAACCCATGAGGATGTATGCCAGCCTGTGGAACGCAGATGACTGGGCAACCCAAGGTGGGCGTGTGAAGGCAGACTGGACTAAAGCACCCTTTACTGCTTCCTACAGGAAATTCAATGCCAGTGCCAAAAGAGTTGGTCCTAATTCAAAGTCAACAAGCTCCCAATCTGACAACCAGGCATGGAGTACCCAAGGACTTGATGCAGCTGGCAGGAACAGGATTAGATGGGTGCAGAACAAGCACATGATCTACAACTACTGCAACGACGGCAAACGGTTTCCCAATGGTCTACCTGCTGAATGCAAGAACTCAAGATTCCTTTAACCCTACGCTGGATCTTGGTTTGCATATTTCATTTTCATCTTTTGATTGATTTCTGATCATAAATATTCTTTATTCGTTGTCCTCGATTCAAATTATGATTATAAATAAATACCAAAGTGCATACATGTTTTAGTTGCTATTCTTCTACCTCAAATATAAGCCTCATGACGTCGGAAATTGTCTTGGGTAATGTGTTTCCAACCAAAACATTTTCAACCAAAGTTTCCTTCGCTAAGTATTGTTTCCAACGGCCTACTTGGGATTAGTCCGTCGGTGTCTTAGAATTGTTACATTTTTTGTCTTTTCAATCATGTGTTTAATTACCTATAGTAGTAGAATCGTAGTTATAAAACGCAGTAAACGATGTGATGACGAAAATGAATAACACTTGAAATGAGATAAAGACGCCGACAAGTCTGGAACAAAATCCATATTTGCCAAATTTCCAACCTGGCTAAGTCGCCAGAAAATTGATGTATGTTTTGTATTCATGCTGCATTTGTATGGGTTGTGTAACAAACAGGTCGATCTCAGGGTCGAGGCAATGGACTAAACAAAGATTTGTTGGCCTGAATCCAATTGATGGATAGATGATTAAAGTAATTAGAAAGAAACAAATAAAGAAAACAATAAATGAATGAAACAACAAAGGAACCAAATAAAGCGAGACAAACTACATATTAATGGGCCTTGGGTAATGTCAATTCTGATTTTCAATAATGGTGATGATTTCTTCAGCAAAACTAGTTCAATCTGCCTCTTCCGAAGTGGACAAGTTTTCTTGAACCAAAACCCATTAACGTTAAACACATTAACGTTAAAACAAATATTTTTGTCGATCTCTCTCTCTAACCAAACACTAACTTCAGCTAAAAGTGGGATAAACAAGCAAATTAATCACTACATTAAAACTAAATTCAATAGAAAGCATAAATGAGAAATTAATTAACAAATAACTATGAACATATGTTTGAGGAATCTTGTAAAATTCTTAGAAATAATAGATATAAAATATGGATAAAACTTGAATAAAACCGTGAAATCGTGTGTAAGAGCTCGATTTCCTTAAGTTGTATTTGGACACTAATTTTCCTTGGTTTCACGAAATCAACWCGAGGATAACCTCAAATCTCAATTTCGATCCTCGCATTTGTTTCATTTTAAACTTAGAGAATCGTAACAATTCCTAAATTGAAGTCGAAAATATTAGCCCATTAAATGGAAATTACTAGAGTATTAGTGGGCAGTTAACGAGTTAAAAACGACTTACATAGATCAGAAGGCATCAAATCTGCTARCGCTTTAGAGTCGAAAGCCCTTCTRGTTCGAGAGCTTAGTTCTTCATAATCAAAAGCTCTGACTCCTCAGAGTCGGAAGCTCTGGCTCCTCAGAGTTAAAAGGCTTTGAGTCAAAACCATTTCAGAATCAGAAGCTTCTGAACAACATGAAGAACCTCGATTTTCCCAAGCACTTTCTTCATAAAMTTAGGGGTGTTGCCGCATGGACCTCACAAAGGGGTGCACCCCTTGTACACCACCATATGGCACCATCTAGCGATCTCGGGTTCTAGTTAGCTTACACGAGTGTACATCCCACACCTTCTATCCCATGATATAACGTAACTACTGACCCCATACATTCTCTTGTGAATCCAATTTTATAAAATGAACTAATAATTTCATTAAAGTCACCAAATATTAACAATTAACTTTGAACGCATATAGAAAAATTTAAACTAAATTCAGAAAATTATAAARTGCATAAATGTATAAAGATGCAAAAATTAAGAGGGCAGTAATTGAAATGATGCAGAATGATATAGAGAACATAAACGAAAGAAGATGCAGAAAATGAAAATAACATAGTGCACAAAATAAGAACCAAGCCGAGAAAATAGGATGAATAATAAAAGAAATCATGAACAATAGCTAACTAAGAACAACGAAATAACCTGCATAAATAAAAAGAAATATGGAGGATGATACTCCGAATCATATGAAAACCAATTGCAAATCGAGATCTAATGGCATAAGCTTGTAGCACAAGAGTTCTACCTCCACAAGCTCAAAAATGCTTAAGCGAAACTAGAACATTAGAGTATTTTCATTCTAATATCTAAAAAACATCTGAATAATGAAAAAACACTAAAAACAMATAAATATCGTAGCAAAAAGACCAAAATGTACTTAAAAAATTGGGCTACCAAACGTTGTTCACGGTTGTGAAGGAATCCTTCACTTCCGTAAAAGGCAAACGGGGAAAATGACCAAACTCAGGAACAATATTGCTTTAYGRCCGTCAAGAAATCATTCACGGCCATGAAGTAGTGGAAGATAACTTTTCATGTTATAAAGAGTTTTCTTCGTGGACAAGCATCATCTTTTTCATCGATTCTTCACCAACAATTAAAAAAGTTTAAACATATGCAAAAAATCATAAATTAGATATAAAATAAGAAACAAATCCGGAAAATACGATGAACAATAAAAGAAATCAAGAAAAACTAATAATAACAAATAATATTGATGCGATGAGTTTTAAAATTATAACGGTAAGCGTACGGATGTGTAGCATCCGAGTCGATTAAGGGAAGAMKATGGACTAAATATGGATTCGTTCTAGACTATGACCTAGCTACGGGAAGCATCAATCAGTGTAGAATGATTTTATTGAAATGACTAAAAGGAATTACACGACAATAAAAATAWAAGCTAATGAAAWTTGGATRATGTCAGTCTTGGATTTAAGTGATGGTGAGTATTTGTTGTGTAAAATACTCTAACCCTCTTTCGAGGMGGAAAAACYTTTCTAAACCAAGATTCATAGTTACTTTCATAGAATGCATATGTTGGAAAGAAACATTACGAGTAAAACAAATATTTTCACCGCTTTATGTTCCTAACTATTTTTATGTCAGAATCATAGTCATTGATCAATATAAATTCAAATTAAGATCAAACTATCGTTCATATCAAAATTTAACAGATTAACTAAACATTTCAACTAAACGCCAATATATATCAGGTAAAAATCAACCAATTAAAACTCAGTTTGATATAGAAACAATTGATCAATATTACAACGTCAATCCAAATGGACGATTACCACAACTCAAAGTTTATATTAAAACAATTGATCAATACCACAACGTTGGTTTGGTCTCCTACTCCAACATCTTCATTTAATCCGACCCAACTCCAAGTACTTAAATCCACTTTGTTTTTATAATAAATGTAATGAAACCTAAATCCGCATTCATGATTGTTGTTTTAGTATTAAAACCTGGTCAAAATCTAAATAAAACCAAAAAGGGATACTAAAGTAATAATATCTCCAACGCGTATTAAACGAAAATTAACTAACAATAAATAAAAACCAAATGCAAAAGCTTAAACAAGATGCAAAATGCAATTATAAACTAATATGAATATTTCGTGCATAAAAT